GAAGATCCCTCCAATACCATTCATTTAATTCCTCACACGTTCTCGTTCGGTCGAATGGCGATTGCCCGTTTTGAAATTTTCTTCACACTTTTGACATCTTTCTCTTTGTTGTAGGCAAACCAACAGTCACCCATGCAGTGTATCTTGAAGATTTGAAGGATTTTTCAAACGCTTTCGCCGCTGAGGTCCCGATAAAGTCCACCGCTGCCGATACCCCGAACCTCCGAAAACGCTTCGCGTGTGATCTTTGTCGCACATCGTACAAGCATCCCAAGGGGCTCCGGGATCACATGAAAAAGCACAGTGGTGAAACCAAGTGTGATCTGTGTTGGAAAGTGTTTTCAACCATCTCCTCTTTAAAAACTCATATGAAATTGACGCATAACCTCCGTTAAAAATAGCCGGAGTAAATTTAACTCCTAGTCTCAGAGTACAAATTAACCTCCGTTAAAAATAACCGGAGTAAATTTAACTCCTAGTCTCAGAGTACAAATTATCACAAAATCCGAACCAACATTTTTCAAATTCAGAGAGGAGTTTGTGAAATAGGATTTGAAGGAGCGCATATTGCATCTATGAAACTTGGTTCGGAGAGAGTAAGGTACGCCAAGTAGATGCATAAATTACATTTTTTATTCACCCAAATGCATTGCAGCCCATAGGGCCATCTTCAGTGGTATACATAAGGATCACAGACTACAAGCAAGTACATGTACATGTATAATCTAAGGACATGGTGATGAGAATTAAAAATTACGGGTACTAACTACATTATAGCATACAGGTGGCAATTAAATAAATAAATAAAGAATTTGCCGGTTAAGTGAAACTAAGAAACCCAACATTCAACATAAATCACTAATGAAGCAACAAGCATCAATAATTGGAGTGGCGGCAAGATTAAAAAAAAAAGCAAGATTGTAAAAAATGTAATTTATGCATCTACTTGGCGTACCTTACTCTCTCCGAATCGAGTTTGTGAAACTTGGCGAGAAACACGATAGGATAGTGCCTCTGGTTTTCTCAGAAACCAAGCACAAGAAAAGCTTTCAAAGAGGCCGACTCGAGGGAATATCCCACGCTACTTTGAGAATCCAACTCCATTGGTCAAACTCTCCATGCATAGATGGAGAGCATTGGCAGGGTTGGTGTAGTTTCAACTTTGGAGTCCCTGAACAAAGTGGCAACCCTGCTAATGTATTTTCTCTTACTTTTGCATGGAAAACATGTTAAAAATTAGAGGCGGACTTGCAGGGTAGCGAGGGATATCCTCTCCATTATGGCCCGAGCTTTGACAGCTTTTCGTTGGCTCGAGAGTTGATTTCAGAAGATACCGGTGGTACTGTCGTGTTTCTCGCGAAATTTTATGTAGGAATCAGTACTTCGATCACAAAATCATGACACAAGCGAAAACTCCATCGCTTTCGGAATCGGTCGAACTGACCTACTGCAGCCATTTCTTATCGTTACCGAACAGGAAAATGAACTTACCGATAGTTATATGTATCCTTACTCTTTATTTTACGTCAACGCGTTTCCATGCAAAACAGCTGATCATTTCAAACCATTCGATCATTCGAAACAATATCCAAATTTCGCCTTAAATTTAATTTGGATTGCTTTTATTTTTTTCCTCAGCATAATTATGAACCTACTTCCATTTTTTATCTCTGTTACCTTTTATTTATGTTCAATCCTTATGTCATTAAAGTTTCTAATTTTTTTCCTCACATAGGCGAACCCTCTACTTATTTACTTTGCTCTGACCTATTGCAGCCATTTTCCATCATTTGCCGCAAGAATGAGAGCAAATTGTAATGCCAGTGAATCGTGTAAAGAAAATGAGGAAAATTGGATAAAGATTGATCTGAAAGCCCAATTTGTCCCATTCTTGTCATCTCCCACCTCCCTTCAGCAAAAACAGGAGGGAAATTGCCTGCTCGCCCAAATCATCTCTATGTCCATCAGTGGCGTGGCGTGCTTTGCATGGAGATGTCGCATGTGTGAGGAATTTTGCGATTTGACAATTGATTCTCATGTAAAAGGTCGCGAAAAACACAATGGTGCCACTGGTTATCTCTGAAATCAACTCCTAAGCTCAAAAAAGCTCTCAAGTTGAGGGCGTAATGGAGGGGATATCCCACGCTATCCTGAGCAAGACAAACTCTCTATGCAACGACAGGGAGCAAATACATTGACAGGGCTGCCACTTTATTTGGGGACTCTAAAACTGAAAACACGGCAACCCTGCCATTGTCTTTGCTCCCCATCTTCGCATAGAGAGTTTGTCTCGATGTAGAGGTGGACTCTCAGGATAGCGTGGGATATCCCCTCCATTTTGGCCTCAACTTGAGAGCTTTTTTTGAGCTTGGGAGTTGATTTCAGAGAAAAGCAGTGGCACACCGTGTTTCTCGCAATTTTTTACTTAAGAATCAATAGTTAAATCGCAAATTCCTCACACATGCAACATCTTTATTAATGTGTCATTCCTCGAAAATGTATTTAATCTGTTGTATTTTAAGTTTGCGTGTTGCATATTCACAAATTGAAAAATCTCCTTCTTCAGAGACTACGCAGAGTTCATCATGGCGCCTCGTGTTCCACGGATGTGCCTGTTGCCTAATGAAAAATTGAAGGCGACCCCGCTTTTCCCACTTCTTTAAAGCTGAACGGGACGTGGCAGCTGTAGCACCCGAATGACAGATTGCCCATGTAGGGAGAGTAGTGGCAGGTAGTGACACAATACGTTAATTGTGTTTTATTTTCAGCTGTGTTTCGATGTCACGTTGACTTTTTACCTTCAAAATCAATGACATTTAAATAAATCTCATCACACTCGATGCCTGTTTTTGAAGTGCACTATTAGTACGTGAACCTAATTAAAGTCTACAATTTTTTTGATCTTTGGGAAATTTATTTTGAATCAAGATTAAAAGCTCTCGGCGCCAAATTGAAGAATCATCATGCTTGATCTTGACCTTTTTTTTTCAGTTTTCATATCATATTATATGTGACCAGTATCTCCATACACGAACTGATGGTGTTTTATCGTGACCTCGATTCATCGATGTGAGTTAAATTTTCCGGCCTCAATTCCAGTGACCATTCCAATAAATCTCCTCAACGATTGTTTTCGAAATCCATCAATTGCATGTAAACCTTTCTGTTTCATGTTTGCCTATTTCCACTTGAGATCTCTGTATGTATTCTATAGTTTTATGTGATGCATGAGATATTTTCGACCTGTTTGTCCAATGTAGGTCATGAACAGAAAAGAAATGTACGTGCGGATTAACAAGGGTTTCTTTTGAATTTCCGCCCCACAAAAAGATCTTCATTACGAAGGAATTTCCTGTTACGACGAGCAAAATTTTTCTTTAACGGAATTCCTGCAGCCAAGAAATAAATGCCAGCGTAGAAAATCCTCAAAGGACTCTCTTGTTATAATTGACGCAAAAGTGTTGCTGCATGTAACGTCTCATGACGGACTGCAGCATTTTTCTATCATAACTTGCAATTGAGAAACAACTGGACTGCATTTTGCAATTTGGAACTATAAATTCTAGCCCGGTTTAAAAACAACGTATGTGTGATTAGTTTTCCTATGCACATACGTGTTTTTTCAGATGAGCCATAATTTATAAGTCCAAATTGCAAAATGCAGTCCAACTGCAGTCGGCGAGGTTTTCCTTTCCGAAGTTCCTCTATTCCCTCATTGTTTTCTGTTTCCATTCTCTCAGCTCACAAAACGTCTGTTGACCTGAATGCGATTCAACTATCATAATATGGACTTCATTTTGCAATCAGGAACTATAAATTCTAGCCCGGTTTAAAAACAGCGTATGTGCCATTAGTTTCCTTATGCACGTAAGTGTTTTTCCAGAAGAGCCAGAATTTATAGTTCCAAATTGCAAAGCGCAGTTCATAAGTGTTTGGAGTATGTTCAATCGGTCGTATTTATGCTAAAAGGAACTAAGTGCATAGGGTTTGCGTGAGACATAGTTCCTTTTTGCATAAATACGTCGCTCCCGGAAGAACGTAACTACATTTCAACGTTGCCAAATTTCCCCTAGCAAATCGTTTTTTTTACCAGGAGAGTCTTGAGCAGCTCCAATTGGAAATTTCACCCATTTTCCTTTTGATCTTGTGCAAGAATCAGGAACATCTTGGACAAATATCGCACAGGTATATTTTTGTGGAAAAAACGGATGGTCTGTGCCAATTTTGCAAACTTGGAATGAAGTTACGCTCTCTTGTCCGGGAAACGATGAATTTGATTAAATTTTGCAATAAGGAACCACTATCTCTGGCTCTCCCATAAAAGCACATATCTGCATAGGGAAACCAATAGCATGTATGTTGTTCCTAGAATGGGCCATAAATAGTGGTTCCTTATTGCAAAATGTAATCCAATTCTCCGTAACCTGTGGCACTGATACCCTCTACTTACAATGCCGACGAAAGTACCCTCATTGCAGTATCCCGCATTCCCCCACAAAATGTAATTCAAAATGTATTATCACTTGTATGTGCTTTTTCAGAGGTTCTGAATTCCTTCATTACTTGTCTGTTCTAGAGTCATCTAGATCAAGAGTGTTCTCTTTAGACCTCTCCACAGTCCGACTGAAGTCTTGCTTCGTTCGCATCGACGTCCCACAGGAATACAAATCGAACCTGTTCAGTCCCGAAAATACATTTTCCCTGAACAAGGACCCTCCGAATTCTGGTACCCACTACGTTCCCTACGACCCTAACGTGTCTGAGTTCATCGTCCCAGAGATTGTGAACTCATATTCACTCGGTGTCACCAATATATTCTTCCCCAACGAAGACTCACAAAAAGAAGTTGCTGCACATCCCTCCGAAGTCCCTCGGCAATCAACCTCTTCCTCCGACACTGAGATGACGAAAAAACCAGGTTCGACGGTCGCTTTGAAGGGCCGAAAGTTTTTCAAGTGCCACAAATGCGAGAAGAAGTTCAGGAGCCACAACGGTTTGAGGTATCACATGGATACGCACACCGGCAAAACTACTTGTCAAGTATGCGGAACGGTTTTGTCAACTCGCATGGCTTTAGAACGGCATTCACGCGACGTACACGAAAAATGTAATGAAGAGACAACGCACATGAAATTTACTAGTGACCCTTGTAACGATGTGTTCAAATCACGCATAACTCTTCGCAAACGCGTGGTGTCCAGGTCACGCATGGCTCTTCGTAAACGCGCTGAATCGCTCACTGGTGACACGACTTGTGATTGGTGTAAAAAAATCCTCCCAACGGTGAGCCATCTAAATCTGCACGTGTGCTCCGCACAAAAGCAATCTCAAGAAGAGACCAACAAAAGAACTTTTATTTGCGGTCGTTGTAAAAAAGTGCACAACTCACGTCGTGCTCTGAACAGGCACTTGAAGTTCCACGCTGGTCTGACGACCTGCAAATTATGCAGGAAGGTTTTTTCGAGTGTCTGCAGTTTGAAGCAGCATTTAATTTCCGTTCACAGGCGGATTTCCATTAACGGAAGAAGGACTCGCTCACGTGCCCCCTCAAATATTCACAAGCCATCCAAGAAGGAGACTAAAGGAAGGAAAGCTCCCTCTCAAGACAGTCAAAAGGAGACTGAGAGAAGAGGAGCCTCCTCTCAAGACAGTCAGTTTACATGCGGTGTTTGTAATAAAACATATAAACAAGAGTGTAACCTGATGACTCACATGAGATCGCACACTGGCGAAACGACGTGCAAATTGTGCGGAAAGGTTCTGTGCAGGGTAGACGCCTTAAAAGACCACGTGCGTCGCGTCCACCAACTATTTCAATAAGAAACTTGTCGGAGAATTTTCCCCTCTGACGTCCTTTTGGGTTGTTCAAGTATCACATACTTTTCCTCATTTTTTGACCCTTCTCCCCCCTTCTAACGCAGCCCTACGCCATCCTTTTGAATTACGTAACGCGGGCCTGCCCCCCCCCCTCCTCCAATTTAAAAAACAAAATCAAGAAAACGCAGAAAAAACAGCTTGGAAAAATTCGGGTTTTTTGGGAGATATTTCGCTGAAATAAGATGGGAAGAGAACACCAAATGTGTGAAAATACATGAGTAGTTTTGTTCTATTCATACTTTTACCGTATTAGTACACCGAGACAATTTTGGATTTTCAATTATAACACGATTTTTTCCAAGTTTTTTCCCCCTAGCTCGGATTTATTACGTAACGCTGGGCCAAACCCCCTCCCCTCCCCTCTTAAGTGTGCTCAGTAATACTTGAACGGCCCCTTCCGCATTTTAGACCATTTGGACTGCATTTTGCAATTTGGAACTATAAATTCTAGCCCGGTTGAAGAACAACGTATGTGCCATTAGTTTCCATAAGCACATACCTGTTTTTCCAGACGAGCCAGAATTTATAGTTCCGAATTGCAAAATGCAGTCCATTTTAAAAACAGGCGCATGCCGCATGACTTCTTCGTTGATCCATGGAGGAAACAAGCTAAACGATTTGTAAAGGACGCAACAATTCCCTCTCAACGTTTTTCTTTTTTAGTCCATTTACGTAACAAGTATTCTTTTTTCTATTCGTCGTGTTAATGTACTTTATTTTTACATGCGTTTCTTATTACAGACAAGATTTTGACATTATGTCACAGCCCATGGTGCTTATTTCGTAAGCACAGAAATACTGATTTTGCTCATCTACAGAAGAAACGACGTGGCCCTTTCAATCTTGTCTCTAAAATTAGAGATACTTTATATCAAACTCCCGCTCACTATTTTTCTTTTTTTACCTTTTATTTACCTAATTACATGCACACGTTACACCCACAAATTAGCGGCAGAAAATTAAAGTGCATGAGGAGAAACGAAATTATATCTGAATTATTATCGACTGCTCTCTTAATGCAGGCGATGGTTCCCTTCTGATATCTTTTTCATTGCAGCTTTGTAGTTAAGAAAAATCTTTTATTATCCAAAATATCGAACCGTGGTGTAATTTTTTGTTTGATATTTGATGATTTGGAATATCGCCTTCCCCACTTAGCTCTTAACCTAGCTCCTGCCGGCCGATTTTTGAAATTGATAGACAAAGCTATAGACAAAGAAGACAAAAGAGATATAGAGGGATCCCATTGGTGGAAGCAGGTGGTTGCAATGGACAAAGGAGGTAGGCAATAGACTAACTAACGGCAACCCACGAGAGACCCGATAGTTCGTCCGTCATTCTCTCCCTTAGTCTATAGGACTCGCCCATTTCAACCAATAGGATAGCTGCAAACTCCCTATGTCTTCTTTGTCTATCGCTTTGTCTATCAATCTCAATAATCAGCCCGCTATGACGTAACGGTATATCTCAATTTGCGCATGAGCCCTGCGCTCCCTTTGCGCTTACGTACACGTTCAATGATACATTCTTTTGAATTTTCATCACCAAAACGAAATTTTTTAGTCTTTATTGCATCCAGTACTTTTTCTCTTTTTATATTGAATTTTTTGACTTATTATTTACTTATGTGTACCCATAATAAGACGTACTTTTGTTTGATGATCCGAAAAATTTTGGCAGAAATTTTAAACATGAATTTTGAAATTTTTGAACAGCAGTGAAATTTTTCGTGAATTGATCCCAATTGACGGAAAGGATGACTCGATGAAACGAAAATGCACCTTAAAATTTCATGCAATGAAACTTGCAATGCTTATTTCAAAAAAGTTTTCACCTCCTATTAAAACTGTTCATTCTTTTTGGAGCAAATTTTTCATTCTATGCTTCATTTTTCTCGCTTTGTGTATGAATTTGTCGCGTCAATTTGTCCCGGCCTTTGTCTGTCGAACTTTATTTGCATGTATTGTTCTTAACTTTGGAAGCCTCATCAATTTTCTTTCAAATATTTTTCGCGTAGCTGTACTTCTTACAAGAATTGTGTGCTTTTTATTACATTATTACTTTCAAGCTAATATTGAAACTACTCTATACTTTTATTAAATTATCTTGATGCAACGAATCTTTAAATCATCAAAATGTCGATTTTACATCAATTTTGTCGCGGGGTGTTCAAAATTTATCCAAATAATGACTGTATCAAATCTAGCAAATCTATCTGTATTACTTTCACGACTTCAAAAATGTAAAACTAGTTAATCATCCATGAAAACAGCGAGAGGGTTTTTTTCTCTCCTTTCATTATTTCTATGTCCTGTTTTTATCAGCCACTCGTTTGCATTATTTTATTTTGAAATGTATTTTATTCCTCGATTTATTTCATAAATTAATATTTTTCCTCAATAAATTCTAACTGACCTATCCAATAAAGACCTGTTACAGCATATTGTCCTAGAACTATATTATATGATCATTTTGCTTAATTTTACAGTGAAAATGTTTCCAAATTACAGTTTTATTATTTTTGACAACATTTTCTCTTTTAAATCATTATTTTGTCCTAAATTAACCGCCCTTTCATGTGACAATGTATCATTTAATGGAATACTTTATAACGTGTAGAAACGTGAATGATACGTGCAATTAAAATTTACACAATTATTTTCCCTTAAAACTAACAATTTTAGCAGAAATTATTTGCTATTCTGGGAGATTTGTTTAGATAATTTTGAAGAAGCAATATTTTTACAATACTGTATTCGCGCTGGTTCCTTTTCGCTAAATGCGATTCATTTTCAAGTCTTTTACTTTTCCCCTTATTGGATTGGCTCTTTACTGATTTTCTGTTTCGCTGTCTCTCTTAGATTCATCAGGTCCACGGAGGTCCATCGGCGTTGTCCCCGAGGAGTTGACAATTTCGGTCATGAACGGCTCACAGACCCTCGCTCTTCCAATCCCCGAGGAAGGACCACTCAAGTCCATCATCCTCGTCCCTGCTCAAATTTCTCCGCCTCGGCTCCCTGCTCCATTTTCAATCGTCAAGGTCCAGAAACAGACCCCCTCTGCACCCCCGCAAGAAGAACACCCTTGTGGCAAGTGTTGCAAAAACTACGGACCCCGCACGGCTCCGTTGAACTCATGTTCACTTGGTGCCAGAAGTATCTTCTTCCCCGACGAGGATACACAAAAAGAAGCCATTGCACATCCCTCTGAAGTCCTTCGGCAATCGAATACCTCTTCTTCTGACTTTCTTATCACCAATAAATCTAGCCCCACCGTTTCCAAGAAACGCCGAACGCGTTTCAATTGCGTCAAATGCGGGAAGAAGTACAAAAGCGACTACGATTTAAGACGTCACATGGATATGCACACCGGCAAAACTACTTGTCCAGAATGCGGAAAGGTTCTTTCAATGGTCATGCATTTAAAAGAGCACTTGCGCAACGTACACAAACGATCTGATGAAGAGACGACCGAAAAAGAATTTGCTAGCGATCGTTGTAAAAATGTGTTCAAGTCACGCATGTCTCTTCGCAATCGCGAGAGCTCTCTTATTGGTGAAACGACTTGTAAATTGTGTGAAAAGATCTTTCCAACGGTGAGCCATCTAAAACTGCACGTGTGCTCCGTGCGAAAGCAATCTCAAAGAAAGACTAAAGAGAGAACTTTCAATTGTGGTCGTTGTAAAAAAGTGTACAAATTGCGCCATGCCCTGAACGTGCACATGAAGTCGCGCACTGGTAAAAGAACCTGTGAATTACGGAGGAAGCGCTTGGCAAGAGTCAGGCATTTTAGGCGGTGTTTACTTTCCGTTCACAAGCAATCGCAAGAGGCGATTGTCGGAAGAGAAACTCACTCAAGCGCCCCCTCTGACATTCACGAGGAATCCGAAAAGGAGACTGAAGGAGGAAAAGCTCCCTCTCAAGACATCCGAAAGGAGACCGAAAGAAGTAAAGTCTCCTCACAAGACAGTCAGTTTACATGCGGTGTTTGTAAAAATACATATAAATATGAGTATAACCTGAAGACTCACATGAGATCGCACACTGGCGAAACGACGTGCAAATTGTGCGGAAAGGTTCTGTGCAGGATAGACGCCTTAAAAGAACACGTGCGTCGCGTCCACCAACTATTTCAATAAGAAACTTGTCCAAGAATGGAGATGTTGCATGTGTGAGGGATTTACGATTTGACTGTTAATTCTTATGGAAAAGTTCGCGAGAAACGCGATTGTGCCACTGGTTTTTCTGAAATCAACTCCCAAGCTCAAAAAAAGCTCTCAAGGTGAGGCCAAGATGGAGGGGATATCCCATGCTATGCTGAGAGTCCACCTCTACATCAGGACAACTCTCCATGCAAAAATAGGGAGCAAATACATTAGCAGGATTGCTGTTTTCTCAAATTTAGAGTCCCCAAATAAAGTGGCAGCCCTGTCAATGTATTTGCTACCTATCTTTGCATGAAGAGTTGGTCTTGATGTAGAGGTGGACTCTCAGCATAGCGTGGGATATCCCTTCCATTTTGGCCTCAACTTGGGAGCTTTTTTTTAGCTTGGGAATTGATTTCAGAGAAAACCAGTGGCACCATCGTCTTTCTCGCAAAACTTTCAGGTAAGAATTAACACTCAAATCGCAAATCCCTCACACTTGCAACATCTCCATTATTCATTCTCACGTCTTTTCATATATTCGTGAAACTTTTTAAAATATGCTCACATTTCATTATGTTTTCCTTGTTACATGGAAGAAGCCAGCGAAATGATAATTAAATTACGCAAAAAATCTAATCAACATTTTTTTTAAAAAGCCCATTTATGCAACACGTATTTTTTATTAGAGGCATTATTTGGATTGCATTTTGCAATAAGGAACCACTATTCCCCGCTTTCCCTTAAAAGCTCGTATCTGCACAGGTAAATCAATGGGATATATATGTTGTTTCTAAACTGAGCCAGAAATAGTGGTTCCTTATTGCAAAATGTAATCCATTCTGACATTATGTCCTAGGGCATGATGATCATTCCGTAAGAAGCCATAGAAATTTTCTCGTCGCTCGTTTACAGAATAAGCACCATAGCCCTTGACGTCCTGTCAAAATCTTGTTTTTTAACATAGAGGTGCTTTATTCCCATCTCTTGTTCAAAGTTGTTTGCGTTTTTCATTTTTTATTGCCATAAAAACGCATGTATATTTCACTCGCAAGTCAGCTGTGGAAATTGCAAATGAGTTAGGAGAAATGGAATGATGCCTGCATAATTGGTTGTAGACTTGGTGCAGCCGATGAAATAAATCTTGTGATATCCTCTCTATCACCACTTAGTAGCTAAGAAAACGTTTTTATCACCCGAATCACGTAAACGCGGTTCAATTTTTCATTCGATTTTTGATTTTGTAATCATTGCCTGCCCTATTCGACTTTCATCCTCACCTCTCTGACATAAGGGTAAATCTAAATGCCAACGTATCTCCCGCGGGCTGATCATTGACATTGATAGACAAAGCTATACACAAAGAAGACGTAGAAAGTATCGAGCGATCTTATTGATTGGAACGGGTGGTTCTATTAAGCTAAAGGGGAAAATGATGGACTAACTGCAGGGTCTCTTGTCGCTTGCTCTTAGTTAGTCTATTACTTACCATATTTTGGTCCATTGTAACCACCCGTTTCCTTCAAGAGGATCGCTCCATTATGCCTCCGACTTTTATGTCTATCACTTTGTCTATGAATTTCAACAGTCAGCCCGCAGTTCTCCGTATAAATCTATGTGTTGACCTTCATTTTCATACATTAGTCTTAACCTTTCAAGTTTCATCAATTTTCTTTCAAAAATTTTTTGTGTAGCTGTACGTCTTACAAGCTTTTCCCCGTCTTTCAATTCATCATTTTCACGCTAATATTGGTAATACTGTACATTACTGTTTTTGACTATCTTGATACAAGGCATCTTAAAATTATCAAAGTATCGATTTTACATCAATTTTAGTCGAACTAAAACGCTGTTTTGAATTTATCTGAATTATGATTTATTGAATACAGCAAATCTATTTGTATTACTTACACGACCCTAAAAATGTAAAACTAGTTGTATCATCCATGAAAACTGCGTAAAGGGCTTTTCCCCTCCCTTCATTTTTTCCCAACCTGTTTACTCAATATCGATTTTAATTAGCCATTCGTGTGTATAGTTTTTATTTAACATGTAATTTTTCCTTTATTTATTTCATCCTTTAAGATTTCCCCTCAATGAATGTTAACTGAACTTGATCTATCTAAAAATGATTTATTACACCATATTTTCATATTATCATTTAACTACTTTATTTCACAGTGAAAATATTTGCAAATTACAGCCTTATTTTTGACATCATCTCTGTTAAATCGTTATTTCCTTCTCAAGGAACCTCCCTTTTATGTGATATTTAACTAAATATTTGACTTACATCGATACATAAAAATCGCTCCTACAACGTACTCTGGCGTTCTGCGACACCCAAACGCCACTTTTGCATATCTTCCCAGAGATTATCGGGCAACTGATAAAGCAGCATCTCTTAAGCACCTTCCTGCTGTCACCCCTTCATTACCCAATCCAAAACTTGTTTGAGCAACCTTTCCTCCGACATTCCTTGCACATTTCATTCGCAATATTTGATGGAATTGAGTTGAATTGATTGATTGGTTCTTAGTTTTTTAAATTGATGTTGGACCCCATGCTTACTTTGATGATGAATAATTTTTCCGGAAAATCAAAGTGAGCATAGCATCCAAAATTGTAGAGTGCAGCTATTCTTAGACATCAGATGAGCAAAGGGTCCGAAAATCTATCAAGACAATTTTTGTGAAATAAAGACGAAAAAACTGTATTCGTGTAAATTGTAAAAAATCGTGCATTGGTTAGGTTAGGTTTTGTTAGGTTAGACAAAATAAGAAAAGTATGCTACTTTCTGTGCACATTAAAATTGAGGGAGGTCTCCTTGATATTGGACACATGCTCAAGCGAAGAAGTGAAAATTTAGCGATGAGCGTGGAGTCCAAGATCTTGGACGAGAGAAGCAGGCTAGTATATCAAGGGTGAGCAGAGCATAGAGTCTAATATTGGACTCAGGCCCGTCACATCCCATCTCGGGCCCTGGTACCAGTTTTAAGGTCCGGGTCCCAAGCACGGAGGGGAGGGGGTCCGAGGGGCATCCCCCGAGAAATTTTAGAATTTATACAACTAATCGGACGCATTTTGAAGCTTCCCTAAAGAATTTTTCCATCAATTTCTGCGGAATAATTATGTTTTGTTTTTTCTACATTCAGCACAAAATACATGCGAATTGCGCCATAAGAATGTGACGGAAGATTTAAATGGAGATAGCCTCCATGCACGCTGGGCTTGTCGATTTCCTCTGAAATTTTTGCAGTGGTGAATGCATAGCTGAAGTGCGCTTCAGCTAGAATTGTATTTACGAATGAGTGGTTTTTCTACGAGGATTAAAAATAAACAAGTGGCACGGAATATAACAAAAGAATATGAACTATGCAAAACGATAATCCGGGTATCAGAACTTAACTGTTTTGAAAACGCCTTCAAATGCGGCGTGATACCTCACACATTCCGGAGAGTTCAAATAGTTGTATCATTGCGCCTTAGAAATGCGACGGAAGATAACAACTTAAATAGCCTTCATGCACGCTGGCCTTTTCGATTTACGTTAATATTTTTGCAGTCATGAATGCCCTTAAGTGCGCTTCAGCTAGAATTGTATTTAGCAAATGGGTGGTTTTTCTACGAGGATTAAATATAAACGAGTCGTACGGAATATAACAAAAGAATATGAACTATGCGAAACGATAGTCCGGGTATTGGAACTTGGCTGATTTGAAAACACCTTCAAATAGGGCGTGATACCTCACACATTCCGGAGAGTTCAAATAGTTGTATCATTGCGCCGTATGAATGTGACGGATGATTTAAATGGAAATAGCCTTCATTTGGACTCGCTGCTATATAATCATTTAATTTTTAAAAGGAGTTGTAATTTTATTAACTTATATATGTGGTGTAATTGTTATTGAAATCATCATGAGATTTTATAAATTTTATTTAAGTCTCACTCGGTTATTAAATAAATAGTTAAATAATAACATCAAAATTCAATTTTGGAATTGATAATTCGTAAGTCTTGATAAAAAAAGTGCCGGATAAGAGGATTGAATTATACATTGAAGTATACGTTTCAAGACCTCTGCATTACAATTTGAATCGAGTAAAAATAATAATTTTGAAAATTATCAGTTCAATTTAACTTATAAACATTAAAATGTGGAATCTTTTTTTTTCTCGATTTATGTTATTTAATGTAATTGTATTCGCTCTGTACTAACATTCTGTTTTGTTGTTTGCCTTAGATCCGTCAGGTTCACTGAAGTCCGCCGGCCTTGTCCCTGAGGAGTCGACAATTTCGATCATGGACGGCTCACAGACTCTCACTTTTCTGATCCCTGAAGAGGAGCCACAGAAGCCCACCATCCTCATCCCTGCGGAAGTCTCGCGGTCTCGGCGCCCCGTTCAGTATTCGATCATCAAAGTCCAGAAACAGAGCTCCTCCGCGCCCCCGGAAGAAGAACACCCCTGTGGCAAGTGTGGCAAGAAGTACAGATCGCACGCGGCTCTGTTCAACCACATGAAAATGCACACCGGTGCAACCAAGTGCAAGACCTGTCGGAGGACCTTCGCAACCGTCGATTCCTTGAGGCGTCACGTACTTTTCACCCATTCGGTCGTCAAGAAGAAGACAGAGTCAAAGTGAAACGAGAAAGAGTGAAGGAAGGTGGAAGATCCTGAGCGAGCGTTCAAGTTTATTGATCGCCGAAGATTGAGGAAATACTGTAATGGACCACTTAGAGTCCCCTTATACTGAGAGTTAAGACGTCGTGAATCCATTTCTGATTGGTTCTCGTATTTTAGGCCTCCACAGTGTCACAAGCGGGAATGAAGATTACATTTTCACCGATTGCAAAGATTATGATTATTAATATATTATTTTTATTATTAATGGGTTCGGCAAGGAACAAACGAAATGAGAGAAGGAACGGAGATCGTAATGAACGCCGATCAAAGATTACGAAAAAGTATCAATTTGTGTAATCTTTATTCCTGTGTGTGACTCTATGAGGGGGGTTGTCTTGACTCTCAGTACAAAGGGACTCTAGGACCACTAGGCAAGGTACAAAGTTAAGCATTCTGATACGTGTTTTTTAACCAAAATGTAAAGTAGAATACGATTCGTGCATCGAAAATTACTGAAATTAACTCCTAACCAAGGTGTATTATGTTTTTTGACGCGTGAATTCAAACCTCCCGCTCATGAAAACACAATGGTCTACTTACGTCAGATCGCAAACTAAACGTTACCATGGCTGTCTCTGATATACGAAAATATGGCAATCGCAATCATGACGCTTTGGCTCAGCAACAGCAAATTGTTTACTTTTTGAACAATAAAGGGTGGAAAATGAACAATGTTTGATTGAGAAGCCTGCCGAAACCGTTGAAGTGCGCGCTTTGATTTACATAGGTAGAGTATTGTCTTTCTTGTGACCGGGCAATTCAAATTTTCCGTAACCAATGTAAAAGTGAAACGTTAATATCTTAGTTAGGAGTTGATTTCAGTAATTTTTGATGCAAGAATCGTGTTTTTAGTGAAATACTGATTAAAAAAAACATGTATCAGAATGCTTAAATTCGTACCTTGGCTAGTGGTCCATTATAGAGCAAATTGACCGAGTTAGACAGTTAGGAATAGTGTATAGGACCGGAAATAACCGGAATTCACCAGGGAATTGTTTAGTTTTAAACCACGTAGATAGATACAATTAAATACTTGTAGTAGTTACGTCATATTTAAATAAAATTTCTTTTTTTAAAAAAAAACCATGGAATGGAAAAATTCAGGCAAAACCAGGAGGGAAAAATCAGAGAATTTGCTCCAGGAGTTGAGAATCTTTTTTCTCACGGCTTAGAGCTGTTTCGTTTTCAAATTTTGCGGAAATTTAAGGTGCTTACTATTATGAATGCTCATTTTATTGCACCCTAGCCAATATAAACATCAGGAACGCTTTTGGAATCAAAATTTGTTTGTACTCCGAAGAACCGGCAGGACTGATGTTATGCATAATGTTGCGGTTCCGCCCCCCCCCCTCCCTTAAACCTTCTCCTCAAATCTAATTCCCACCTCCTAAAAAATACCTCCTATCATTAGTTATCGTAATAGCGTAAGCTTAAATTTTGTAAGAAAGTAATTGAAATAATGAAGAACATTTTTGAATTGAAAAAAGAGAACCGGCTGGAAGACGTAAAAAATTCGAGGCTCATATCTGCGGGTTGATTGTTGAAATTGATAGACACAACAATAGGCAAAGAAGACATGGAGTGTACGAAGCGATCCTGTTGGTTGAAACGGGTGGTTTTTATATAGACTAGGGGATAAATGATGGACTAACTGTAGAGTCTCTCATGGGTGGCCGTTAGTTAGTCTATTACCTACCTCCTTTCTCTATTGTAACCACCCGCTTTCATTGATAGGGTCCCTCCATATCCCTTTTGTCTTCTTTTTCCATAGCTTTGCCTATCAATTTTAAGAATCAGCTCGCTGGAACTCTTCAAATTCATACAGTTTGTCTCAAGAAACTCCCGGGAAAGTGGGAGAAAGCTTTGGTTTTCTCATTAGGGGAGGAGCTCTTGAAAATCAAGGAATGAGCAGGGTTGAGAATTCAAGACACCATAGACTTAAATTGAAAATGACCAAGTCGGAAGTGAGGCGGGAGTAATTAAACAGCGCAAGATTGAAAACCCATATTGTCAAAAATCTTTACTATTTTCCTTCCGTAAACTTCGCAAAGAAGCTGATGTCTCCGGCAGGAGTTGTTTTAAATATTTTATTTTTGTGTTTAAAATTATTTGGCTTCGTAGATTCAACTGAAATACTAAAAATTTAAGAAAGTCCAATACGAAGTATCTGGATTCAACGTTCGTGAAGCTAACTTGGCAGAATCTTCATTACTGCATCAAAGATTTTCTTCACAGTGTTTTTCTCTTCTTTTTCTTTTTGTATTCAGTATGTAGACGTGGGAACATTTTCTACTCGCACGTGAAAATTATTGTTTCTTATCCTGTTAAATTAAAAAAAAATAAAATAAAATAAAACTGAAGTGCATAATTCATGAACTCCTTCATCACTTCCAAAATAGCAGATCTGTTATCAGCAAAATCACTTATCCGTATGCATTCCCTTCCTTTTTACGTTCTATAACTCGTCCCTATTACTTTATGTACCCTTCAAAAATGTATGTGTTGCATGCTCGTTTCTAACAGCACGCGTGACCCGTAGGCACTAACGCAATCATTCTTCAATTCTTAATTTAACTAGCAGTTTCATGCATTTATCACAGAAATATAAATCCAATTCGTCAAGGACAGATGAACTGAGTTAGAAAGAAAGGACCCTTGTCACATTTTGAAACGCGACTGAGTATTAATAATTCTAAGTTCAATATTAAATTCTCCTGTCAAGAAATGATGTTTGTACATTATTAATTTGAATATAAGATAGACCTTGATTCAATCTCATAGAGGCGTAAGTCTCATGGAGGGGTAAAATCTTGCTGTGATTTGGTCCCCTTCTTTTAGGCCCAATTTTATCACCTGCTCTTATTACGGGTTTATCCTCGGGTTAAAATTTGACAAACACTCAAAGTACTTTGTCACATATGAATCAGAAGTTTCGGCTCTTGGCTCCAAAATACGAGGTCTGTTAGATTAGAAACCGAATTTCGGTCATAACTAGCCCACAATGCGTCTGAATTAGGTTTTCTTCAGCTTTCCTGATAGCTGAAAATATACTAAAGATCGCTACGTTCACAGATTTTGTTTATTTTGATCAGTGTTTTTTCTGTGTCGTCTTGAATACGAGTAAGTCAGGTACGTTTTGCGATTTTCGTCATGCGGCCACTGATAGAGCAAAGATTCAACATTAAATTTTGTTTTAAACTCGGCATACCTTGTACCGGAACTTTTGGTAGATACTAAGTAAAGTTTACCATGATCATTGTATGAGATATTCCCACTGTTTTGAATGGGTTAAACGATTCAAAACTGGTCAGGAGTTCGTCAAAAATGAGGAGCATGGGAATCGACCCTCAACGGCAACTCACATTTGTCACGTGGAAGAACTGCGGGCAAAAGTGCTCGAAAATGGTCGTTTCGAGCTTGTTCAACAGCGTATAATATTTCTGAAGGCTCTGTACGTACAATTTTGATAGAGTATGTAGACACGCATCGAGTTTCAGGTACACTTGCCCCTTGATTGTTGTCCGTTGAACGAAAATCCAACCAAATGTCAATTTCCCTTTAGCTGCTTGAACGTTCTAACAATTATCCTACATTTTTGGATAGGATAATTTTCGGTGACAATACTTTAGTGTGCGGCTACGATATGAAGACGAAACTCCAATCGTCCTTGTGGGTTGAAAAATGTAGTGCAAGACCGAAAAAAGAGAGACAAGTTCGGTCAAACATAAAAATCGCAAAACATCCTTGAGGTTGCCTTACTTCAAGCCACATACCAACGATGCTAATTAGGATGTTTCAAATTTGTGAACGTAGCGTTCTTAAATATATTTTCAGCTATCAGAAAAGCTCAAGAAAACGTAATTTGGACACACTGTGGGCTAGTTATGAGCAAAATCCGGTTTCTAATCTAACAGACCTCGTATTCCACCAGAACCGCAATTTTCATCCGAACTCTAAAGGACAATAGTCCACAGAATAGCGTTGAAAGTTTGCGTCGACCACAGTTCAAGGCGGATAAGATAGGTGGTCGCATCTCGAGATGAGTCTCCATTTGAAAGGTTGTGACGCGCAGAGTACATGCTCTGTCATGTAATCAGGATGTATCCGAAACATACCCGATGCCTTGTGACGTCAAAAGGGGAAAAAGAAGGGACCACCATTATTTATCCGCCTTGACCAGAGAGAACTGGCCCTGGAACTAGGTCGAAGCGGTCGCTTGTAAGGATTCTGAATTCTTTTATCTTCACGTATATTTTCTTGTTTCTTCTTCTTTATCTTTCTTCTTTTATCTTGGTCTGTTTAAGAGCCATTAAGATCATTAAAATTCACTTTTTCAGTGTTCGAGACCCAATTAAAACCCTGTTTTGTCCGCGTTGAAGTCCCGCAAATATGGGAATCATATCAGCAAGGCCATGAAAACCGTCCACCCTGCACTAAGGGCCTACAGAAACCGCGCAGTCCAGTCCCACCTGATGTCCCGGAGAATCCTATCACTAGTTCTCGTACCAAAAGTCAAGAGAAGCTGTGTACTCCCGTCCCCAAAGAAAACTCAGAGGCTTTTCCTTGTAATTTCTGCAAGAAGACGTATTCTAGATACCCTAGTCTACTCCAACACGTGAAGATGCACACCGGTGATACGAATTGTAAAATATGTGGGAAGGTTATATCAACAGTCAATAATTTAAGAAAGCACTTGTTTCTCGTTCACGGGTGTCCCATTGAAGGGAGGCGTGGATCAAGAGAACTCACGCCGAATGTCACTCTGCTTGAATGCGATCATTGTAAAAAGGAGTACCATTCTCGCTCAGCTCTGATCAGACACATGCAGATGCACGCCGGTGAAACAAGCTGCAAAATTTGTGGGAAGACGTTATCGTGTGTTCCTGCGTTAAAGGAACACATCCGTTATATCCACAAACTTTCAAAGGAATAAGAGACCGAAAAAATTATTGTAACTAG